TGGGGGTGGGGGGAGGATTTGACATGACTGTGTGCGATGGAGAAAATTAAGCAGGTGGTGGAGGAGGCAGCGTATTGTCTTACCTGCACGGTGGTGCTGGGGTCCAACTCAATGTCTCGTTTCACTGGGGAGAGGACAAGCGAGAGCCCCGCAGAAGAAACGCCCAAACGTTTGACGCCGGGCGATGCACGTGCTACAATCCGGAACTGGCGACCTTGGCTGTCCGCGAGCATGGGCGGGCTGGGGCGGGCGCTCACGACACACGTGCACGCTCGACTCAAAGCTGCTCACTCGGACACGCTCGGCTACGGGCGTTCTCGCTCGAGATGCCTCTCAGACACTGTCGCAGATGCAAGCAAGGACAGTGACCACAACGAACTGTAGAGATGGGCGGAGAAGGACAGCAGCGTGTGGCTGGACACGAGGGTCTTCTCGCTGATTGTAGTCGCAGGTTCAGCTTAGTAAACCGTATCGTATCCAAAGATGGAAGATTTCACAATCACTGCACTGGTACAGAACACATGGACACGGTTGTGTAGGCTGCGTTCACGAGTTACACGTCACAAATAATATTATGTTATGTTGCAACAGAATTTCAGAAGACTAAGATCTAGATCTGGTCACAAAACAAAAGTAAAACATTAGCTGTGTTTCGTGAGTGGAAGGAAATGCATTATTTTTGTACAAGACACGGGGTGTAACATTTGTTAGACTTAGAACACGATGAACAAATTACCAAAGAAGAAGGAAGTTAAATATACCTGTTTTTTTACGCACCCATCGATACAATTTAGATTATATAGGAAGCTGGCTACCAACTCTGCCTGTCAGGACCAACCCGGGCTAAGTGGGATACAACATCCCAGCAGAAATACCCAGATACACAATAAAAAGTTCTTCCTCACTTGGGAATCAAACTCGGTAAACTGTGTGCAACAGCAAAGCGCCTAAGCACGACACCACAGACGCCGGTAATTTGAATTTTTACTTTGAAGACCTAGCGGTAAGAGTAAAGAAGGGAGACAGGAGGAAAGAAGTCTATGAAGATAATACAAAAAGCACCCCCCCCCCTCCCACCCCGCTACCAGATTTGAGTATAAACTAGAAAGCTCAGTATTCTACGATGGAAACGAGTTGTACCTCTTATTGATGAGCAGTGAATCTATTAATTATTTCCCAACTTTTCCCGATGGTAAGGCGTGGTAACAGATAACGGGGGTGGGACAGATGATAAGATGCAAGATCACCATTGGCAGAACCAGTTTGTATATGGCGCGCTTTGCTCCTAGGAAACGATGAGCGATAATGACAGCGAGCGAGCGAGCAAAAGAGAGAGAGAGAGAGAGAGAGAGAGAGAGAGAGAGAGGAGGGGAGAGAGAGACATAGACAGGTAGACAATTAGATAGAAGGAGGGGGGAGGGAGAGAGGGGAGGGAGGGGCAAGGAAAGTAAAAATGGGAGAGAGATAGAGGTAGAGGAGAAGAGAGACATAGATACATAGAGAGAGAGGGGGATAGGGAGAGAGGGAGAGAGAGATAGAGAGAGAGAGAGAGAGAGAGAGAGAGAGAGGAGGGGTCAGGCAGACAGACAGAGGAAGGGAACAAGGAGAGGGTGGGCGGGTGTCTTGTTATCTGTGTGATTTACACACAACAGAGGCTTGGCCAAAACAACGGGAATGTTCGATACAAGCTTCGCCTTCTCATTCATTCGCCAGTACGGAACTAAGAACGGAGCTTAGAAAGCTGACACACACAAACATTGTCTTAACTATTTAATTTAAACAGTATATGTAAAATTGAGAGCAACACGCAATGAACCGAGACATTGATTGAATTTGAAGAAGAAAATAAAAATAACACCCAAGAGGCGTTAAGGTACTATCCATCCATCATATTTATACTTCCAAGTTCAGGAACCAAACTCGGGGAAGGAAAACTAGGGCAAAGCATTCAAAACACTAACACCTTTTTATATTTAACCACGGAATCGGAACACGTACCTCGTTTGGTCACTCGATGAGTACTGAAGCACGTCCTCAATCCAGGTGGGAATAAAGCTCACTGCTAAACTGCTAACAACGCATAGCGCACGCACGTAGAATGCTCAAGCACACACAGGTAAGCAACACGACATGGGCTACCAAATCAACAATCTCAAAGGGATCCAGGCGAGTCACGTTTGTTTCCCCCGATCTACTTCTATTCTTTTCAAAAACTTTTATTCCTCCGTTCTCCGACTGTTTTGGTGGTTGGTTGGTGGTGGGCTCGTCGAAGGCTAAGAAGAAAAGCGATGTTGTCGTCAGTGACTCGCTGAGTCGGCTTGCGCGGGCTAGCTAGAGCAGAGCGTACACACAGGCCCGCGCCTCATGCCTCCACGCCTGGTGGAGAGGGGGAGGGAGAGGGGAGAGGGATACACGGGGGGACACAGGATACTGGGGGACGAGGGTCGGACATACACACGCACATTCACACGCACACACACGCGCGCGCGCACACACAAACACACACCGTTACATGCCCTTCTGTTTCCCCTAGGGTGGGGGTTGTTCTTTTTTGTTACGACTCGTACTGATCAAAGGCCTTGAAGTTAACATTAAAATCGTTTTCCTTTTGGCACTTGTACTTGTCGTCTCTTAAAAAATAAATGAAAACAGCGGGTATAATAAGCCTTTGCAGGGATTCGTTTCATGTCAATGGAAAGAAGATTTATTTTGCTGCTTGGACTCAATGTTAGCACTGTCATTGCAAGATTCATGGGTGATAGTGCTCATGTCCTTTTAGATACTTATTGCAAGATGTATACCCTTTTCGTTGAGTTTAACGCCTCTGCACCACAATGAAAATGAAAATCATTCATGGGTAATGACTAGGGAATGAGAGTTAACCTTTTGTCCCCGAAGTTTTTATCTGTTCCCGGGCGGAATTTGATTTTGGTTTGTCGAAATGGAGCACATCTCATTGTTCGTCTCTTTTGCTTTTCAGCGTTTTCTGGCCATTCAGTGGTTGTGCCACATCTATAACGCAGCTTTTTTTCTCTCTCTTTCTCCAAGTCTATGTCTCAGCGTCACATATCATAGCTGTGAGCGCTGGACAATCATGAAAGACTGTGAAAATAATATAGAAGCAACAGAAATGGTTTCTAAGGAAGCTGTTGAGAACGTCTGCAATGGAAAAGGAAATCAAATGAGGTAGCATTAGAAGAAACTCAGGTGGGACGCTCGCTGATAAACCACCACGAAAAGATAATTGCAGTTTAAGGGGAACTTGAATAGACATAAAGTCCGTAAGCATTTAGCTCTAACTGGCAAATTTGAAGGCAAAAGGAGACACGGGTAGACCGAGAGCAACCTACTTGGAGAGCCCAAACAGATGGGTGACGAGGAAAGTTCAGGATAAGTTAGCTTTTTTGAGAGCACCCGAATATGTAATGAAAGGAGAACCATGATCGCCAATGTCTGTGGCACATCTGGCACTTGATGGTGATGATTGTAACATCCGGTGACATCACTGACATTGTTTTCTGCTTGTATCAGTATTTACAACACCGATGTTTCGAGTGATTTTCTGCAACAGCACTGATTAATTAAAGTATCTCTACAGTTGAACCTCCTCTTACAGTCGTCTGTCTGGGACAAAACAAGTTTAAACGACCATTTCCCACCCCACCCCCACCTCACTCCCCGCCGACGTGCTTATGTATATACATGTATAT